GTGTTATTTCTTTGCCTAAGTACAAATTTTACAACATATTAAAATGTGAAACTGCAGCTCTATTTGTAGTGCAATGGCTCCCAACAATTCAGATCTTTTTTTTGACATGGAGTCTCACTGTGTAGCCAAGGCTGGGGTGCAACGGCACGATCCCAGCTCACAGCAACCTCCACCTTCTGGGTTCAAGCGATTCTTGTGCCTCACCCTCCCAAGTAGCTGGGTCTACCAGAGCCTGCCACCATGCCAAGCTAATTTTTTGTATTTTTATTAGAGATGGGTTTCACCAAATTGGCCAGGCTGGTCTTGAATAAAAATACAAAAAGAGCCATCACCATATCCTCATTAACAACTATATGTACGAGTTTAAAATTGATTTAAAAGCAACCTCTCGCACTGTTTCTTTGATCTAAGCATGGAAGGTCAAAACTAAGGGGCCTCTGTGGACTTTGAATTTGATTTGCTACAGAACAAATTGAATCACTTTCTTAGTTTACTAAGAATGAAAGTGCAATCTGATATGCCACCAAAAATCTAACTGGTAGAAAAATCTCAAGTTGCAGCTGTGCTATAGCTCCGCCAGGGCAACAACACTCTTATAGGTCTCAACAATAAACGCAGGTGAGGCGCAGTGGCCCAGGCCTGTAATCCCAGCACTTTAGGAAGCCCAGGTGGGTGAATCGCTTGAGCCCAGGAGTTCCACACCAGCCTGGGCAACATGGCAAAACCCCATCTCTACAAAAAATTAGCTGAGTGTGACAGTGCATGCCGGTAATCCCAGCTACTCAGGAGGCTGAGGGGGAAGAGCCTGGGAAGTCAAGGCTGCAGTGAGCTGTGACTGCGCCACTGCACTCCAGCCTGGGTGACAGAGTGAGACCCTGTCTCAAAAACAAACAAACCAAAAACAATACATGCATGGGATTGGAGGCAGCTGGTCAACGGTGAAGACAACTGAGCCTCATTTCCAAGTCCTCCCTGTAGCATCCCAATTCCCTCCTCACCGTTACCTATAGGGGCCATTTTAAGGTGATTACTTTTACTATCTCTTGAAAATTTCACCTGGGCATGTATAAAAGAATTTCTTTCAGTTATCTCTCTCATAAGATGTTATTTTTGAGAGATTTTAATATCTATATGGCGGGGAGAAGGAAGAGGATTATACGAGTACTATATTGAAGGTACAGAAGTGACCCCATAATGCAGAGGTACACTACGGCCCATCAGCCAAAATCAGCCCACAGCTTGTATTTAAATGGCTTGTGAACTAAGAACGCATTTTATACTTTTTAATTTTTGAAAAAAAAATTAAAAATAATAATACATGGCCGGGCGTGGTGGCTCACGCCTATAATCCCAGCACTTTGGGAGGCCGAGGCGGGTGGATCACAAGGTCAAGAGATCGAGACCATCCTGGTCAACAAGGTGAAACCCCGTCTCTACTAAAAATACAAAAATTAGCTGGGCATGATGGTGCATGCCTGTAGTCCCAGCTACTCGGGAGGCTGAGGCAGGAGAATTGCTTGAACCCAGGAGGCGGAGGTTGCGGTGAGCCGAGATCGTGCCATTGCACTCCAGTCTGGGCAACAACAGCGAAACTCCGTCTCAAAAAATAATAATAATAATAATAATACATTGTGACATACAAAATTATATGAAATTGATGCCAGGCGTGGTGGCTCATGCCTGTAGTCCCAGCACTTTGGGAGGCCAAGGCAGCTGGATCACTTGAGGTCAGGAGTTTGAGACCAGCCTGGCCAACATGGTGAAATCCTGTCTCTACTAAAAATACAAAAATTAGCCGGGCATGGTGGCACATGTCTGTAAATCCCAGCTACTCTGGAGGCTGAGATTCACTTCAAGAAGAATCACTTGAATCAGGGAGGTAGATGTTGCAGTGAGATGAGATTGTGCCACTGTACTCTAGCCTGGGCTATAGAGTGAGACCCTGTCTCAAAAACAAACGAACAAACAAACGAAATTATATGAAATTCAAATTTCAGTGTCTGTAAATAAAGTTTTATTGAGACATAGACACACTCATTAAGTACTGCCTAAGGCTGCTTTTGTATTCCAATTGGAGAGCTGTGAAGAGAATCTCTTTGCAAACAGACTGTATGGCCTACAACGCCTAAAATGTTTACTATCTGGCTCTTGTCAGCCTGGGCAACAGAGCAAGATCACAGCTGTAAAAAAATAATAAAGTTTAAAATATCAACAACGTGTGGCAGAGAGCAACTAGTCCCAGCTACTCAGGAGACTGAGGTGAGAGGATCTCTTGAGGCCAAGAATTTGACACTGCAGTGAACTATGACTGGCCAAGAAGGCCAAGAAGTTGCCACTGCACTTCAGTGTGGGCAAAAGAGTGAGATTCTGTCTCTAAAAAAAATTTGTTTTAAAGTTTCTGTTTTGTCCCATGTAAAATACGGCTAATTTCTCCCCTGTCACCATATTAGAGGAAACAAAATTAGATAAAATGAATCCCACTGTCTATTTTCACAACCATATCTCTTGTGCCAACCAAGGGACCCCCACTCTGTAAATACAAAGTAAACAGTAGTTGAATGAATGTGGAATTCAATTAATAAAGCATGCCATTTACCTATCACACACTGTTGGGAGTGGTTAATTTGGAGACAGAGGGGGATTTAACTGCCACTACTGACAGTAAATTATGAGTCTCATTTTTCTTTTTTTTTTTTTTTTTTTTTTGAGACGGGGGTTTGTTTTTGTTACCCAGGCTGGAGTGCAATGGCACGATCTTGGCTCACTGCAACCTCCGCCTCCTGGGTTCAGGCAATTCTCCTGCCTCAGCCTGGACTACAGGCACGCGCCACCATGCCCAGCTAATTTTTTTGTATTTTTAGTAGAGACGGGGTTTCACCATGTTGACCAGGATGGTCTCGATCTCTTGACCTCGTGATCCACCCGCCTCGGCCTCCCAAAGTGCTGGGATTACAGGCGTGAGCCACCACGCCCAGCTAAGACATTTTCATGTAACATGACTTATGTCTTCATTTAGCAAATATTTACTTAGTATCTACTATGCAGCAGGCCTGTGCTTGGTACAAGGAATATAATGATGGAAAAAAAAACCCACTTATATAATTTTCGCAATTATTCTGTGAGGTAGACAGGGAAGAAATTAGTTACATTTTTGCAGAGGAGGAAACAGAAACTTAATGAAGTTATGTAGCTAGCCTGACCCAAAATTAGGCCTGTTCACCCCTTCGCTACACCAAGGTGCCTTAAATACTCTCAATACAAGCGATTTAAAGTAAAACTTGGCTGGGCTCTGTGGCTCAGGCCTGTAATTCCAGCACTTTGGAGACCCAGGCAGGCGATCACGTGGTCCGGAGTTCGAGACCATCCTGGCCGATACGGTGAAACCCTGTCTCTACTAAAAATACAAAAATTAGCCTGGCATGGTGGCGTCCCCCAGTAGTCCCAGCTATTTGGGAGGCTGAGGCAGAAGAACCAGGGAGGCAGAGGTTGCAGTGAGCCGAGATCGCATCACTGCACTCCAGTCTGGACGACAGAGCAAGGCTCTGTCTCCAAAAAAAAAAAAAAAAAAGTAAAAATTTGTTAGGTGCCTGCACCCTCAAAATTTCCCAATTATCCATGAGGCAATTTAGGTAGACAAAAGCAGATTCTGTTGGACGAGTGACAGTCTCCTTCCTGTCACTCTCTTCAAGTTTTTTGAGCAATTCAGTTAGGAGCTGAGAGCATAGGCTCTGTCGACTGTTTGCATTTTTGTCCCCAGTTCTACCGCGGTGCAGCTTTGCACAACTCACAACCTTTCTGAACCTCAGATCCCATCTCCAAGATAGGTGTGATAATAATAGAAACCACCTTACCAGGCTGTTGTTTGGATTACATGAGATAATCCATGGGGAACATTTAGCAAATGGTGTTTCTGTAGCATCCAGTCTAGCCCTCGACCCCACATCACCCCATCCCATTACCGTTTTCTCCCCCATAGCTCTTCTGGCTAAAATGCCCTTTTAGCTTGTTATTTTATTATCTTTTCCCCCCATTTGGAATATAAACTCCATGACAACAGGGACTACGTTTTCCTATTCACTCTTCTATATCTCCTACCCAAAGTACAATGCCTAGCACATTTTAATAAAAAAAACTGTTGAACGAATAAAGCTTAATAAGTATCTAGGAAGACAAGGTTTCAATCCACCGATATGCAGAGATGCAGGAAAGTCCAAAAGATACAAATGCAATTGGACGGCTCTTGGTAATATCGGAAAGGTGCTGGAGAAACTTTAAAAGGTGTATCACGAGGTCGTGTTACAACTACTAGTGAGAGTGGCTGACGCCCTAGGGCAGCTCAACACTATCTGTCAACCCTAAGACTACACCCTAGGGATTGCTAAAAAGCCGAGGAGAACGCAAAACGCCCGGGCATGCGGGAGGGTGCTGCAAAAATACCCGCCCCTTTCCTTCTCTCTTAACCTTCCAACTGTGCACTTCACTCTTTGAGGGCCCCACAGGGGGCAGACAGGGGCGGGCGGGGAACGAAATACCCTCGAAGGGTAACAGGGGCGCCAACAGCGACAGTACTAAACGGACACGAAAGGGAGACAAGCTAACTCTTTCGTGGGGGGCCCGACTGGCGCGTCCCAGTTAGCCAACCTATCCACTCCACCACCATCCCACCAGCAATAGGAGGGGGAAGGGGGGGACACTGTCCTCCGTCCCGCCCCGCTGGCCCCAGAGCAGGGCCAGCCACGATCTGGCCGCAGCACTGTCTACAAACTCACCTCTGCCGCCGGCTCCACCTCCGCTCACATTCCGGCCCCGCCGCCTTCCCCCCGCCCCCCGAAGCCCTTTGTTTTGATTCCCGACTCCGCAGCTCCCGCCGCCGCCGCCAAGCGCACCCTCCACTTCCGCTTCCGCAACCCACCGCCCCTGTCGCAAAACCGACGCCCTTCACTCCCTTTAGCCCCGCCCCTTCCTCGCCCCGCCTCCGTCGCCGCGTCCTCTCCGCGCGGGGCATGCTGGGAACCCCGGGGGGGGCGGGGCCTCGCGGCCCTGCAGCCTCGTCAGGCTCAGTCCCCTCCCGATAAACCCCTAAATAGGGACCTTCCCGGGGGGTGACCCTGGCTTTTTTGGCGAAAACCCCCAGTTTAAGGAGGCCTTCCCCCTGGCTTCACGTTGTGGAGTCGAAAGGAACCTTGAAGCGGAGAATGAGGGAGCTCGTGACGTGGACCCGAGGAAAAAACCTGCCAACCAGGATTTAATAGAATTCAGCTCTTTTAGGCGTTGAAGGGAAGGCGATTTGAACGGGGTTTTAATGAAAAACCCGATCGCTTCGGCTTTTCTTTTTCCCTCTGTCAGGTCTCGTCCCGTGATGGTCCTACTTTATTTTTAAAAAATTAAATGGCGCATATTCCCCAGCATCCTAAATCTAGTGCAACCTAGTGGCAGGTGGAGAAAAAATAACTACCAACCGGGCTTCCTGCGAGGTCCCCTGGGGTTCTCGCAAAGTTCTGACCCAGCCGGCAAAAACAAAGTGTGCAAAGACTCAACTGGATATTGCCACTAAGAATCAAGAGATTTTTTGGGGGACTTGAGCAAGAAAACGTTATTTTTAAATGCCCTGCTCCAGAGCTTGCTACAAATGATACAACGTGTCATGACAGGTAGGGCGAGCAAAAAGGAGACGGTTAGTTTCCAGGGCTTTGCGAAACCAAAACACTTGCGTTTTAGGTGGCCAGATAGGCCCTGTGGTTTGCTTTTTTTTTTTTTTTTTTTTTTAATAGCGCCCCACAATCTTCACGTTTCCCTGGAATAAAAAAATTTTAAGACTCGGCAAAAGGGTGATTTCTGAAACTACCAACTGCTGACTATTTTCTGTTGCAAATTAGGAGAAAAAGTGCATATTGTGTAAATTAAATCTAGACACAATTTAGGATGTGCTATCTGAATGCTACCTTCAAAGTTTATTTTTAAAGTTTGTCTAATAACAAGTTGACTTTGCAAAAGAATGAGTAAGTCAAAATTGCCAAACGAGAATATTTTCCTGAAAAAAATCGCCACTGTGAGGTGATTTCAATAGGCAATCTGCATTAGGTGGGGATTAACACTTCCCTATAAACATCCTTGTAGACGGGTATTGTGGAGGGCAAGATCAGACATGTAGCAGAAGAATCCTTTGTGCCTGTATTTAATTTTCCAGAAGGCAGATGACAAGCACACATCCTCTTTCTACATAGGTGTTTAGTACTGCTGATTAAATCTTCACTGTGGGTTGGGCACAGTGGCTCACGCTTGCCTGTAATCCCAACACTTTGGGAAGCTACGGAGAATTTCTTGAGCCTACAAATTTGAGACCAGACTGGGAAACAGTGAAACCCTGTCAGTATTTAAAAAAGAAAGGAAAATATCTTCATTGTGTCTCTGTATAGGTAGTATTTTCCAAGTGGAGATTAGAATAGATAAAAACCCCTCTTCTAGCGTTTTGGTTTTTTCAAAGTAGCAAACAAATATGCTACTCTTCAGAGGCTTTGTTTTCCCCATTTTATTTCGTTTTAGTATGTCTGAATACAAACCATATTAACTAAAAATCTTGAAACAAGGTAATTATGAGTTTCTAATTGCTTTTTTAAAAAAAAAAGGTTTTAGCCAGAAAACATAAAAAAAAGTGACACATTTTATTTTTCTTTCTTTTTTTTGAGACAAAGTCTTGCTCTGTCACCCAGGCTGGAGTACAGTGGGAGGATCTTGGCTCACTGCAGCCTCCACCTCCCAAATTCAAGCGATTCTCCTGTCTCAGCCTCCTGAGTAGCTAGGATTACAGGTGCTTACCACCATGCCCAGCTAATTTTTGTATTTTTATTAGAGCCAGAATAGTGCCATGTTAAACAGGCCAGGCTGGTCTCGAACTCCTAGCTGATCCTACCGCCTCGGCCTCTTTAGGATTACAAGGCTGAGCCACTGAACCTGACCACGTTTTCTTTATATGCATATTTTTATTTTAGATTCCTTTTTACCAAGCAGACACATTTTGCTTGACTTAGCTTGGCATTCTTTTTTTTTTTTTTGAGACGGAGTTTCGCTCTTGTTACCCAGGCTGGAGTGCAATGGCGCGATCTCGGCTCACCGCAACCTCCGCCTCCTGGGTTCAGGCAATTCTCCTACCTCAGCCTCCTGAGTAGCTGGGATTACAGGCACGTGCCACCATGCCCAGCTAATTTTTTGTATTTTTAGTAGAGACGGGGTTTCACCGTGTTGACCAGGATGGTCTTGATCTCTTGACCTCGTGATCCACCCTCCTCGGCCTCCCAAAGTGCTGGGATTACAGGCGTGAGCCACTGCGCCCAGCGAGCTTGGCGTTCTTTAAAGTTCAGAGCTGTAACTAGTCATAACAGGTAAATGTAGTGATTAAAAATGGGCAGGTCATGGCGACTCATGCCTGTAATCCCAGCACTTTAGGAGGCTGAGACAGGAGGATCCCTTGAGGCTAGGTGTTTAGAACCTGCCTGAGCAACCTGGCGAGACACTTGTTTCCATTAAAGCAAATTTTTAACTCTGTGACAGATAACTTTGAAAAGAGTTTAATGATGTTTAGCATTTTAATGGAAGTCCTCATTTGTATTCCAGCTACTGGTAACGTTTTTATCCCTGGATGGCTGGCTTGGGTGCAGATGTTTGGAGACCTTTTAAAGGTATGGAGAATTGGCTTGACTACATTGTGTGGAGCAAGTTGTTTTGTTTGTTTGTTTTGTTTTTGCTTTTTCAGATGGAGTCTGTTGCTCTGTTGCCCAGGCTGGAGTGCAGTGGCACAATCTTGGCTCACTGCAACCTCTTGCCTCCCAGGTTCAAGTGATTCTCCTGCCTCAGCTTCCTGAGTAGCTGGGATTACAGGCGCGTGCCACTGCGCCTGGCTAATTTTTGTATTTTTAGTAGAGACAGGGTTTCACTATGTTGGTCAGGCTGGTCTCGAACTCCTGACCTTGTGATTCACCCACCTTGGCCTCCCAAAGTGCTGGGATTACAGACGTGAGCCACTGTGCCCAGCTTGGAGCAAGTTTTAAAGAAGCAAAGGACTCAGAATTCATGTTTGATGAAATGCAGGCAGACCTTTTATCCTAAAAACTATGGTTTTTAATGACCACAGCAAGCAAGCAAGAAAGCATGCAGATTACCCCTTGAAAGGGTCTTCCCTTACCCTGGCTGGAGTGCAGTGACCCTTTGACACTCACTACAGCCTGAAATTCCTGGGCTTTAGTAATCCTCAGCCTCCCAGTGAGCTTTGTATACAGCCTAATGGAGTCTCATGGCACAAGAAGATTAAACAGTCTCGAATTTTAATAAATTTCTGCAATCAAAAAAAAAAAACTTTTTAAAACAAAATAGTCATATTAAGTGGAAAGCTAGTAAAAGTCTGAATTACAAGTACTTTTAAAAGAAACGTAATTATATTGCTGCTTTTTTTTTTTTAAGACGGGGTTTCGCCATGTTGGTCAGGCTGGTCGTGAACTCCCGACCTCAGGTAATCTGCTGACTTTGGCCTCCAAAGTGCTTGGATTACAGGCGTGAGCCACCACGCACAGCCTATATTGCTGCTTTATAAAGACTACTAGCCTAAGAAAAGTATATCAACCCTTAGAAGGAGACAATTATGAATCAAAATACATAAACATTCTCTCTTTTTTTTTTTTTTTAGAGTTTCGCTCTTGTTACCCAGACTGGAGTGCAATGGCTCCATCTCGGCTCACCACAACCTCCACCTCCTGGGTTCAAGCAATTCTCCTGCCTCAGCCTCCCGAGTAGCTGGGACTACAGGTGTGTGCCACCATGCCCAGCTAATTTTTGTATTTTTAGTAGAGACAGGGTTTCACCATGTTGACCAGGATGGTCGGCCTCCCAAAATGCTGTGATTATAGGCGTGAGCCACTGCGCCCGGCCTCCCATAAACATTCTCTTAAGGAGCTATATTTTAAGTATGTATCCTCTGTTGTATTCCTATCTTTGCTGGGAAAACTTTAGAGAGTACAAGTAACTTTGGCTTTTTTCCTCGTCCAAATTATAACCTTCACATTTATTGAAACCAGAATGATTTTTTTGTGTGCTGTTTAAGTAACTACTTTACATTCAATTCAGCTCAACGAACAAAGCTGTTATTAAAGAAATTTCTCCTTGTCCTGGCGTGGGTGACTAATGCCTGTAATCTCAGCACTTTGGGAGGCCGAGGCAGATGGATCACAAGGTCAGGCGTTCGAGACCAGCCTGGCCAATATGGTGAAACCCTATCTCTACTAAAAATACAAAAATTAGCTGGCGTGGTGGCAGGTGCCTGTAGCCCTAGCTACTTGGGAACCTCAGGCAGGAGAATTGCTTGAGCCGCGGAGATGGAGGTTGCAGTGAGCCGAGATTGCACCACTGCACTTTAGCCTGGGTGACAGAGGGAGACTCTGTCTCAAAAAAAGAAAAAAAAGAAAAAAAAAATTAGCCAGATGTGGTTTGCACATGCCTGTAATCCCAGCTACGCAGGAGGCTGAGGCAGGTGAATTGCTTGAACCCGGTAGGCAGAGGTTTCAGTGAGCCGAGATCACACCATTGCACTCCAGACTGGGCAACAAGAGCGAAACTTCGTCTCAAAATTAAAAAAAAGGAAATTTCTCAGAAACTTTTCTTCTGCCTGTGTTAGCTTTAGTGGTTTGAATTAATAAATGATCATAGAAGGACCTAAAGAAGTTAAATGGAGTTATCTGCTCAGCTATATCCCAAAACTACAAGGAAAACAAATCTAATTTTAAAAGGGCCAGAAAAACATTTTAAAGTACACCAAAATTTTCCTTTCATTTTTGAGGTTTTACCAAATGACAAACCCATCTCCCTAAAGTTTGTTTCCAGATAAGACTTTAATGATTATCATTTCAATGTCCTCTCCTTTTTTTTTAATGGGAAATTTGGGAAATTGAGAACCAACTAGTTTAAATGCCTTGATCACAGCTATTTAGGCAACACCAGTACCTCATCAGTTTATGCTTGTTTCTCTGTAAGCTGAGATTAGTTCCTGTCCAGAAACCTTACAGAGTGGTGAGGGTCAAATAAAATTCTGAGGGGGGCCAGGCGTGGTGGTTCATGACTGTAATCCCAGCACTTTGGGAGGCGGAGGTGAGTGGATCACCTGAGGTCAGGAGTTCAGCTTGCCCAACATGGTGAAAACCTGTCGCTGCTAAAAATACGAAATTAGCCAGGCGTGGTGGTGCACACCTGTAATCCTAGCTACTCAGGAAGCTGAGGCAGGAGAATCACTTGAACCCTGGAGGAAGAAGTTGCAATGAACCAAGATTGTGCCACTGCACTCCAGCCTGGATAACAGAGCAAGATTCCAGTAATAACAAGAAAAACCTGAGGGGGATAATCCCAGCTGCTTGGGAGGCTGGGGCAGAATTGCTTAAACCCGGGAGGCAGAGATTTCAGTGAGCTGAGATTTTGCCACTGCAGTCTAGCCTGGGTGACAGAGTGAGACTCCATCTCAATAAATAACTAATTAATTAAATTAATAAAATTCCAAAGTTGAGGCCTGGTGTGGTGGCTCACGCCTGTAATCCCAGCACTGTGGAAGGCCAAGGCAGGTGGATCACTTGAGGTCAGGAGTTTGAGACCAGCCTGGCCAACATGGTGAAAACTCGTCTCTACTAAAAATACAAAAATTAGTCGGGCGTGGTGGCAGGCGCCTGTAATCCCAACTGCTTGGGAAGCTGAGGCAGGAGAATCGCTTGAACCTGGGAGGCGGAAGTTGTAGTGAGCTGAGAACTGCACTCCAGCCTGAGCAACAGAGTGAGACTCTGTCTCAATAAAATAAAATTCCAAGGGGGAAGGCTTCAGAACTAGTAAACCATGAAGCAGGATGCAAATGATTCATTGATGTTTGGGAAGTTTCCTGAAAGACATTTGGTACTTTCCTTAAACTTGTTGATGGGTGGTGAGGTTCCCCTTTGTGCCTCTGAGCAGTTTTTAGGAAATAGCAAGGAGTCCAAAGTAGAATTTGAGAAAGGCTATTCTAAGCATAGTTGGGAGGCAGGACTGGGGTAGAAGATACTGGAATAGCTAAAATCTCTTTGCCTGTACGTAGTGCTGAGGAAGGCAGGTTTAGGAGTCAGAGCCAGCTTTGAAACCTGATTTGTTAATTACTAATTGTAAGACCACAGACAACTCCATTAACTTCCTGCATCTTTATTCTCATTTTTTTTTTTTTTTTTTTTTGAATCAGAGTGTTTCCCTGTCGCCCAGGCTGTAGTGCAGTGGGGCAATCTCGGTTCACTGCAATCTCCACCTCCTGGGTTCAAGCAATTCTGCCTCAGCCTCCGGAGTAGCTGGGACTACAGGCTCGCACCACCACGGCCAGCTAATTTTTTTGTATTTTTAGTAGAGGTGGGGTTTCACCTTGTTGATGAGGATGATCTTGACCTTGTGATCCACTGGCTTACCTTGGCCTCCGAAAGTGCTGGGATTACAGGTGTGAGCCACTGTTTTCTCATCTTTAAAATGGATACAATAAAATGCTTTCCTGGGTTATCATCTGCGGTTCAACTCCATGTTCTCCTCCCTGCAGTGGCCTTCCCTGACCATAGTATCTGAAGTGACCTCTCTCAGCCCTTTTTTATCAAATGAGCTTGCCTTAGCCGTAGCACTTATCTGTATCTGAAATGATACTACACTTTCTGCTTGTAGGTTTAGTGTGTTTCTCTCTTAACAATATAAGCCCTTTGAGGACAGATACCTGTCTGATGTATTCACTGTGCTGTAAAAGTGTACAGAACAATGCTCATAATGCTGGGTGCTGTGGTTCACACCTATCATCCAGCACTTTGGGAGGCTGAGGCCGGAGGATCACTTGAGATCAGGAGTTTGAGGCCAGCCTGGGCAACATAGTGAGATCCATGTCTCTTCAAAAAAATGCAAAAATTAGCTGGGCGTGGTGGTGCGCACCTGTGGTCCAAGCTACTCTGGAGATTGAGGTGGGAGGATGGTTTGAGCATGGGAGGTACAGGATGCAGTGAGCAGTGATTGTGCCATTTCACTCCAGCCAGTGCCGCAGGGTGAGACTCAAAAGAAAAAAAAGCTGGATAATAATATGTATATTTTTTAGTTTTTATGGGTACACAGTGTTTATATTTACGGTGTACGTGAGATATTTTGTTACAGGCATGCAATGCATCATAATCACATGGTAAATGGGGTGTCCATCATCTCAAGCATTTATCCTTTCTTTGTGTTACAAACACTACATTTATATTCTTTTAGTTATTTTAAAATGTACAATACATTGTTGTTCACTGTAGTCACCCTGTTGTGCTCCCAAATACTAGGTCTTACTCATTCTCTCTACTGTATTTTTGTACCTTCTAACCAGAATGCTTGGTAATATTTGTCAGTGAACATGCTATGACAGGATGTTTTAGAAGAAAATAAAGAAAAAAAAAAACCAAATTCCAGCCAGGTGTGGTGGCTCACACCTGTAATCCCAGCTCTTTGGGAGGCTGAGGTGGGTGGATCGCCTGAGGTCAGGAGTTTAATACCAGCCTGGCCAACATAGTGAAATCCTGTCTCTACTGAAAATACAAAAAATTAGCTGGGCGTGGTGTAGTCCCAGCTACTCAGGAGGCTGAGACAGGAGAATCTCTTGAACTCTGGAGTGGAGATTGGAGTGAGC